GCTTGTACCCATCGATGGGTAGGTGACCGTTGCCTTCAAAACTAAAGGAAAATTGGCTTACCAGAGATGCTTGAGTCTAAACATCGATGGGAAGCCAATATCCTGCAGATCCCAAATTTATTCCATCCCATAAATCAAGCCAATCACCCCTTTAATGCATCAGTCTGTTGGAGCCTATTTTGGCACTATAAAAAGGGGTGTTTGGGTCTGCTTTACACAAAAATTCACTTCACAATATTCATATTATCATTGCATCCAAATCACATCATTTTCCATAGCTTTCTAGAGCCAAATTGTGTGAAGTTTGAGTTGTTCTTGAGCGTACTTAGTTTACTCATCATCTACTCTTAAAGAGAGTCTTGTTCTTGAGTGTTTAGTGTTGTATACACGTTAAGGGAAGCTTGTTTCCCTTGGTTGTACGAAGGAAAGGTATTTTCCTTCGGGTTGAAGTCTTGGAGTGCGGTATCTCCGAGCAAGTGTTGTTGAGGCTCGTGGGACTCGAGTTCTCAGGTTGTAACGGTTTGTTAAGCACCCGTAAGCTTAACGGAAGTAGTGTAGCTCGAGAGAGTCTCTCGGGAGACTGGATTAGCCACACGTTGTGGTGAACCAGTATAAATCTTGGTGTGCTCCCTTTACGCTTTCTACGCTCTTTACTTTTCACGTTCTTAATTTTTTATTCCTGCGATTTCTGCGATCAAACGCTATTCACTCCCCCTCTAGCGTTGGTCACTTATTCTAACAGAAATCAATAGAGTACCTAAGTATAGGTGGAAATTCGTGTATATATTAATGGAAATTCGTGTATATATTCATGTATATTAATAAGTTACAAAGATTTATTAATGGAAATTCGTGTATGTATAGGTTGAAATCAATAGAATTTTAGAACCATGCTACTTATATTTACTTCCATATTTATAAATTTCATACTTAAATTAATAAGTAACAATGATTTATTAATGGAAATTCGTGTATATATAGGTTGAAATCAATAGAGTACCTATACTAATAAAAAATCCAATAATATTTTTGATTCCTTACTTATTTGTCTTACTTCCATCAGTATATATTATTGATCACCTTACTTATATTATGTATCTTGGATATATAATACTAATATTATTTCCAATCTCTTTACTTATATATGGCAATCCTTAATTATGTATCTTGCATAATCAATAATATTATATGTAAATATATGTATTCAGATTACAACAATATGAGCTCTAGTTACAATGATAATATAAAAAATTAAAAATAAATATGAAGAAATATAAATACTATCTAAAAAATAAAAAATATATAATATTTTTTATTAATTTAAATAGAATTTTAGGACCATGCTACATATATTAATCCTTTACCAAGGAATTCTCACCATAATAAAGTCCTTCCTTAAATACAAAAGATAAGTAAATAATTAAATGTGAAACTATCCTAATAGGGTTCTGCTTTAGAAAATGATTCATGCATAGCCATGAATGGTATGATATGATTTCCAAGAATAGATTTTTTCATTAACATATGATGATTGACAAAATTTACGAAAAATATTATTAAGAAACAATCCTAAATAGTACTAAATTTGAAAATTATGATCACGAGTATATTATTCATCACCTTACTTATATTATGTATGTTGGATAATACTAATATTATTTTGGAATCCCTTACTTATATATTGTTAGAATAAGAGACCAACGCTAGAGAGGGGGGGGGGGGTAAATAGCGTTTGATCGTAGAAATCGCACGAATAAAAAATTTAAAGAAGAAGTAAAGAGAAGAGTAAGAGGCACACCGAATTTTACCCTGGTTCACCACAACTTTTGGCTAATCCAGCCTCCCGAGAGACTCTCTTGAGCTACACTACTATCTCGTTAAGCTTATCGGTGCTTAATCTCTTGAGAGTTCGAGTCTCACGAACTTCAACGAATCCTTCGAAGAAAACAGCCCTTGCTTCGAATCAACCAAGAGATTTACTTTCTCTCAACATGTCTTTAGAACACTAATACACTCAAGAACGAGACTCTCTTTTAGAGTAGATATTGAGTAAACTAAGTACGCTCAAGAACAACTCAAACTTCACACGAATTGGCTCTAGAAAGCTATGGAAAAAGATGTTGTTTGAATGCAATGAAAGTATGAGAATTGTGAAGTGAATTGATGTGTAAAACAGACCCAAACACCCCTTTTTATAGTGCCAAAATAGCCTCCAACGGACCAATACATTAAAGGGGTGATTGGCTTGATTTATGGGATTGGATAAATTGTGGATCTGCAGAATATTGGCTTCCCAGTGATGTATGGACTTACCCATCGCTGGTAAGCCAATTTTCCTTCAGTTTTGAAGCCAACGGTCACCTACCCATCGATGGGTACAAGCTTCCCATCGCTGGGTAAGAGGTTGACTTCCAAACAAGGAAAGAATCAACCTTAAATGACTTCCAACGGTCATGCCTTCCTAGCGATGGTTATGCCTTCCCATCGCTGGGTTCTCATTGATGGGGTAAAGTCCCCATCGCTAGGTAAGGTCGTTCTGCCTTGTGTTGATGTTGAACCAAGGCTTTAACAACGATGGGTAGAACTTCCCATCGCTGTTTGGCATGGTTCTGGAACTTGGTTGGGCTAAAGGACCGCTTACCCATCGATGGGTAGCACTTTCCATCGCTGGGTGGATGGTTAGCCAAAAACCCATGGTTTTTGCCTTAACCACGGCCTAGCCAACCGATGAAAAAACCGACCGAAAACGAAAGGTGGTTTTCAAAGTGTTTTTGTTGGAGAACTGTTTAAACTTGCCAAGAGGTAAAAACCAGTCATAAAATGTTGAAAACCACATGGTTGGTTCGGACGCCAAAAACCAACGCCGATAACCGAGTGCCGAATGCTGGTTTTTGAAAGTCGAACGCCGGACGGCTTGGTTTTTGGTTTGGGCGAACACCAAGTGTTTTTAATGAATTAAACATGTTTGAAAAACATTTTTATGATGTGTGAAATGCAATGAGAATAATTTTAGCCTAAAGAGCCAAGGTGTAAAGGTTGGGTCGGTCTTGATCACAATTGAGACCGACTCAATGACACTAAGACTACGGTCTTTGTTCTTGGTCTTCTTTTGGCTCTTGTTCTCATATTCGTTCTTCGCCTTGTATGTTCAATGTTTTGTCTTGTTCACGGCGGTTTGGCATTATCAAAACCTGTCATAAAAACGAACATGGTTTTAGTACAAAAACGTGATAAATCCGTGTTTCAACATATATGACAATCGTTAACTATGTATCTTGGATAATCAATAATATTATTCTGGATTCGTTTATTTTTAGTAAGGAATTTGTTATATCTATGACAGACCCAATATTATTATTCCTTACTTATATAACTAACTAGCAATGAGTTAAATTGCTCACTTTTATATCTAAATTTATGGAAACTCTTATATACTTGGGTTAAAATCCTGTTATAAAAAGAGACATATAATGAGTTGAAATGAGACATCCACCACCCATTTTCATTTTCTATTTCAATACATAGGCATTCAGAATTAATTACGCAATAAATAAGTAGAGAATCATTAATGCAACTTCGGCCTTTTGTTTTTAAAAGGATTGGTGGTAGGAGCATCATATTTTTCAATTTCTATTAGGGCTATGGAAAATCAAGTTGACGATACATGGACGAGATCAGCTAGAGATGCAAAAGAAAGGAGAAAAGGAATACTTCAACAAAAAAAGGATAGAAAAGGTACGTAGGTTAAATATTGTTTATCTTAATATATTTAATATTTTTTATTGTTTTAAGGTAATTTGATACATAACATTTTTGAATTTTTTAAAATAACAAAATCAAACGGGATATTTTAGTGATCAAAATTTTAATTTTGTATTTAAAATTTATATGGTTGCTTTTTAATGAGCAATGAAAAATTTTCTTATCTTCATATCTAAATTGTTAGTATAGATAAATTAATTTATGTTAAATAAATAAATTTTTATACAAAATTTAAAAATAGATGTTAATTTTAGAAGGATTTAACAAATACTCCATGTAAAAATGAACACTCCAAGAAAAGATACAAATATATTTACTTTTTTTAAATTATAGACATGTTATTTTATCAATTATAATCTGCATCCATAAAAAAATTAAACGCCGTTCATAGGTTTCATAGAAATCATGGATAATTAAAATGTATAACTGTTGATTTATCTAGGTATGCATATGGCTCACTCATTATTTTTATCAATTTTATATTTACATCAATAGGAATAAAATGATGTCTAACCATGACTCTTTAATTTCATTTTTCTATATTTTTTATGAAAAAAATAATTTATACATATTGAATATTTTAAACAATAGTGTATATATATATATATACATATATACATATATATATATATATATATATATATATATATATATATATATATGTATGTATATGTATTCTGCTAATGAGACTAACATCTTGAAATAAATATTTATCTAAATGTCCATAGTCGAGTATTAACGAGAGTGGGATATCGTTAATGCATGTGAGACTAGTGTGTGTTGGATGTTTGACTTAGTCTCATAGTCAATGACGGTGTGTTCACATCCGCACATGGGAAGATATTATCTGAAGATAATAGGATGCCGGACTGACCCATCCTAAAGATGTTGCTTGAACTTTTAGTTCATGCTATAAGCATCTTTAGCGCGACCACGGGTGTAACTATCCTTCGAATTGAAGTATTACGTTTTCTGCATATGTGAACCCGCATGCTTTGATGCATTGTCCTAAGTCATATGAAATAAGGATGCTACACAGGCTTTGTTTTGGGTATGCCGCAGCGCGTATTCAGAATCGTAGATTACGTACATTAGATTTGTCACTACTCTTTTTAAAGAGATTAATGTCTTTATCTAAATATGCTTAGCGGCATACCCAACACATAACTGCACGTCTACCACTATTTTAGATAGCATTACTTATTAATTAAAGCATACGGCCCCACATATCAGAGAATGTAATAACTTCAAGTCTGAGGATAGTTATAGCAAGGTCGAATTGAGAATACTGATAAATACATTACTGTACATGCATGCAGTATTCTCAAGGTGGGTCAATCCAGTCACATATTATCGATAAAAAATGCACCTACGTACAGATTAAAATATCACAATACCTATAGTCTATAAGACACAACTATCTCATCTCGTACGTACTAGTCTTGATACGTTATGACGTCCATATTATCACAAAGTGCAACTAGAGATATCCTAGACATAGCCTTTGTTAAGAAGTAACAGTCTCATAATTAGAACATCGTAGTCCTCATCTATGTTACTAAAGCGCTATCGTGTATGGACTGAAGCTATGTTGTGTTGCACAAGATATAAAACATACTTCAAGGCCTTTCATTCATGATAAAGTGTATAATTACATAGGCATTTGATTGCCGCTAGGGCACCTCAATATACAACAATCTCCCACTTGCCCTAAGGGCAATCAAGCATTTCTTGAATGCCCATGGACCACGTATGACTCTCATGTTTAAGCAATACAAAGCCTTTGCCAACGGATCTGTGATATTGTCGTCTGTACCTATCTTGCAAATCTCAACGTCCCCACGTGCAAAGATTTCTCATATGATGTGGTAACGTCTGAAGATGTGTTTAGTCTTCTGGTGAGACCGAGGTTCTTTCTCTTGTGCAATTGCCCCATTGTTACCACAAAACAACGGTATAGGATTCTTGATGCTAGGAACCATTATAAGCTTAGTAATAAAATTCTTGAGCCACACACCTTCCTTGGTTGCCTCGGCTGCAGCCATGTACTCTGCTTCTGTAGTGGAATCAGCGGTAATATCTTGCTTGTAACTCTTCCAGGTAACAGCTCCGCCATTCAAACAAAACACATACCCTACCTGCGACTTAGTGTCATCTCTATTAGTGTGGAATCTGGCATCAGTATATCCGAAAAAACTAAGCTCTTCTTTTCCGCCATATACCAAGAAGGCATCCTTAGTCCTACGAAAGTACTTAAGGATGTTCTTCATGTTAGAATAAAGGACCAACGCTAGAGGGGGGGGTGAATAGCGTTTGATCAAAGAAATCCCAGGAATTAAAAAAATAAAAAGAAATGTAAAGAGAAGAGTAAGAGGCACACCGAATTAACCCTGGTTCACCACAACTTATGGCTAATCCAGCCTCCCGAGAGACTCTCTCGAGCTACACTACTATCTCGTTAAGCTTAACGGTGCTTAACAAACCCTTGCAACTTGAGAGTTCGAGTCACACAAACCTCAACGAATCCTTCAAAGGAAACATCCCTTCCTTTGAATCAACCGAGAGAAATACTTTCTCTCAACGTGTCTAAGAACACAAATACACTCAAGAATGAGACTCTCTTATAGAGTAGATAATGAGTAAACTAAGTACGCTCAAGAACAACTCAACCTTCACACAAAATGGCTCTAAAAAGCTATGGAAAATGATGTTGTTTGAATGCAATGAAAGTAGGAGAATTGTGAAGTGAATTGGTGAGAAAAGCAGACCCAAACACCCCTTTTTATAGTGCCAAAATAGGCTCCAACGGACCAATGCATTAAAGGGGTGATTGGCTTGATTTATGGGATTGAAAAGATTTGGGATCTGCAGGATATTGGCTTCCCATCGATGTTTGGGACTTACCCATCGCTGGTAAGCCAATTTTCCTTCAGTTTTGAAGCCAACGGTTACCTACCCATCGATGGGTATAAGCTTCCCATCGCTGGGTGGGAGGTTGACTTCCAAACAAGGAAAGAATTAACCTTAAATGACTTCCAACGGTCATGCCTTCCCATCGATGGTTTATCCTTACCATTGCTGGGTTCCCATCGATGGGATAGGTTTCCCATCGCTAGGCAAGGTTGTTCCGCCTTGTGTCAATTTTGCACCAAGGCTTTAACAGCGATGGGTAGAACTTCCCATCGCTGTTTGGCATGGTTCTGGAAATTGGTTTGGCTAAGGGACAACTTACCCATCGATGGGAAGATCTTCCCATCGCTGGGTGGGTGGTTAGCCAAAACCCATGGTTTTTGCCTTAGCCACGGCCTAGCCAACCGATGCAAAAACCGACCGAAAAATCCAAAGTTCTCCAAAATAAAAAACCAAGTATTTAAAACACTTATTTGATGCATTTGGCTAAGAAATCAAGTGAGTCTATTTAAAAACCACGTCATTTGAGTAAAAACCACGGCTAGCCAAGTTTACGCCGTTTTGCATGGTTTTTGTCAAACGACCAAAAGCGAAAGATGGTTTTCAAAGTGTTTTTGTTGGAGAACTCTTTAAACATGCAAAAGAGTGAAAACCAGTTATAAAAAGTTGAAAACCACTTGGTTGGTTCGGACGCCAAAAACCAATGCCGATAACCGAAAGCCGAACGCCGGTCTCTGAAAGCCGAACGCTGGGTGGCTTGGTTTTTGGTTTGGGCGAACACCAAGTGTTTTTGATGATTTACCCATGCCCGAAAAACCTTTTTTTGATGTGATGAATGCAATAAAATATTTTAGCCTAAAAAGCCAAGATGTAAAGATTGAGTCGGGCTTGATCACAATAAGGACCGACTCAACGATGCTAAGACTAAGGTCTTCGTTCTTGGTCTTCGTTTATCTCTTGTTCTTATCTTCGTTCTTCGCCTTGTATATTCAATGTTTGACTTGATCACGGCGGTTTGGCATTATCAAAACCTGTCATAAAAACAAACACGGCTTTAGTACGAAAAACGTGACAAGCCCGTGTTTCAACACTTCACAGCCGTCCAATGGCTTTCACCGGGGTTGGACTAGTATCTACTTGTGACACTCAGAGCAAAGGCAACATCAGGTCTCGTACATACCATCGCATACATGATGGATCCAATGGCCGACGCATAAGGAACATTTCTCATGCTTTCTACTTCCTCCAAAGTGGAAGCACCCTATGTCTTGGAAAGACTCGTGTAGGCAAACTTCCTCGTTTCGATTCAGACATGCTGAATCTAGCGAGGACTTTGTCTATGTATGTACTTTGACTGAGACCTAACAGCTTCCGTGATCTATCCCTATAGATCCTTATGCCAAGCGCATAATTGGCATCTCCCAAGTCCTTCACAGAGAAACACTTACTCAACCATGTTTTGATGGTAGTTAAATTAGGAATATCGTTTCCTATGAGAAGTATGTCGTCAACATACATAGCAAGGAAGACTACAGAACTCCCACTGACCTTCTTGTATACAAAAGATTCATCCAAGTTTCCTTCAAAACCAAAGCCGATGACGATTTCGTGAAAGCGGATGTTCCAATTCCATGAGGCTTGCTTCAATCTGAAGATTGATCGCTGCAACTTGCATACCTTGGTAGATTCTTCAGTAGCGCAAAACCCTTCAAGTTGTGTCATAAAGACATGCATCCTCAAGGAGGTTTCCATTAAGGAAATCCGTTTTGACGTCCGTCTACCAGATTTCATAATCGTGGTATGTTGCGATAGCAAGTAAGATCCGATTGGATTTAATCATGACAACTGGAAAAAAAGTTTCGTCATAGTCGATACTATTTATTTGAAGATATTTGATATGTTCTCAAATGTCATATTTTATTTGCCCATATTAGCCTGTTTTAGTATATTCCAAATGCATTTTGTACACATTTGATCACTATTATGTCTATATAGCAATTTAGGACATTATTTATATTTTACACATAAAATGTACTCCCTCCGTCCGGAATTAAACTTCCCGGTTTGACTTTTCCTCATTTTTAGTGGGTGTTGACTCTCACATTGAAATGTCTAAACTACCCTTATATCTTACTGATATCACCATCCCTGCCCAGTCCACTGCCGCCCACCACAATATCTGCCCAGCCCACTGCCGCCCACCACCATCTCTGCTAAGCCTACCGCCGCCCACCACCGTCTCTGCCCAACCCACCGCCGCTGTTGTACCCGAGACCCGGGGTCTTATCAAGTAATCAATTTGATGGCGGGTTTACGGAGGAAATGGAAGCAAGAAGGAAACAACTTTGAACTCCAAAGTTCGGAAACGCGTGATAGTCGATTATCATTAACTGATAATCGATTAACAAGATATGATTTCCAAACCACGAATGTTCTAAGATGCACGATAGTCGATTATCACTTTTATGATAATCGATTGTTGGAAATGACGGGGTAAATATGGCGGTGATGAAGGAGTTCTTTTTGGTGTTTTGATTTATGAAGATAGAATAGAATGTGGTATAGGAATAGAAAATGGAGAGGAACGAAATGGATAGAGAACAAGGATGGATAAACCAAATAATGAATAAGAGATAAACACACTCTTATTATATTTGGGGCTGATATCTATTTCACACAATAATAATCACTACTAATGTATAAAATAGACTCCTAACACACACTCAAAAGTAGCCAACTTTAGAGATATTTCATTAGGAAATTTGGTTAAAATAGTATCACACTATTTTAAGAGAATACTCAAAAG